AGCCCAGATGGGTCTGTGGAACTGCGGCAAGTCTGGATATATCCTTCAGGACTTGTCACTGAATGGCATGGATTTCTTGTGGAGACAGAAGTCCTCAGTGATGTGTGGTCCTGGAAGCACTCAGAGCTCACATTGTGCCGTGGGCACACACACATTTTCTTCAGTGCTGCAGGAAACTAGCTATTAGACTGCAGTAACATAGGCAGAATTGTTTAATTTCATGTGGTTGGGACTTGGTGATACCATCAGGAACTGAGACTTTCCCATTATTCTGCTTTTGGTACTGTCGGCTACAATGTACCTACTGTAGCTGCAATGTCTTGCCTTCATAGGGTGGCAGCGGCTGCTCTTTGAGGTCTCATCATGTAGCCCAGGCTAGCCTAGACCAGACATCCTCAGGGCTTAGAAAACCAGTGTCCAGTAAAGACAAGATGTGCTCACCATGCCCAGCTTAGGCCAGGTGACATCCTCTGCTGGGATGTGAAGGGACTGGTTTTCTTTCCCCTCATAAAATTGAGCTTCATAAACAAGAACCAGGTGTCTTTGTCTCCTTCTCATTGTCTCGATACAGTACTGACAAATAAAGAAAGGAGGGTCTATTTTGATTTACAGTTCCAGAGGGAAACAGACCATTCGTGGTCGGGAATGCCACAGTGGCAACAGCAGGAAGCTGGCTGTCACACTGCAGTTTCAGTCAGGAAACAGAAAGCAGGAGTGTGCTTGGGCAATGAAACTTGACGGGGCAGAGGCAGGTGGGTCTCTTGAGTTCAAGGCTACCCTGGGCTACATAGAGAGACCTGTCTTAAACAGAGCAGAAACCCTCAAGGCATGGGCCCTAGAGGGATGTATTTCATACAGAAGGTCTCCACTGCCTTCCAAACTAGCGCCAGTCAGCTAGGAACCAAGTGTTAAAAATGCATGAGTCCATGGGAAGTTTTCACATTCAAGCCACAGCACCCGACGACGACTGGACAGCAAGGTAGCCATGGGTAGCATCTGAGCTTTTTATCCAACCAGAGCAGAGGCAGAGCACTTGCCTACATTGTCTCTGTGGGTATTGCTGAGCATGCTCTGGAAACACATCGCCTAGACTGAGCTGGCCTGTGGGAAGGCTCAGATCTGTGTGTCATCTTTGTTTCCAATACAAAGTATCCCACAGAAAGGAGGTGAAATCCTATGCTTTTTAATTGAGTCGTATAAAATGGGTAAACTAAAGCACATACACCTGAGGAAAGAATGAATGTTCCATTGTCTGAAGTTCGGTTTTTAAATCAGAAATCATCGCTCTGAGATTGGAGACACTTCAAGCCTACAGACTGAATGATACCTTATTTCTGTCTCCACTTGGGCAAGTAGAGTTTCGAGCTAAATTTTTATTATTTGAGAAGAGTTTGAAGCCAGGCATTGTAGAATATGCCAAGGCCCCAGTGCTTGTGTAGGTGAGGTAGACCATCCTCAGCTACATGGTGACTTTAGAGGACAGCCTGGGCTACACAAGAGCACTGCTCTGAGTGATAATAAAACTGTTTAATGAGTTTTTCTCAGGGTTAAACTATCGACCTAACAAAGCAATCACATATTCAGTACTGTCCCTCTATCGTGTTGAGGAGCTTGGGGTCCCAGAGCCTGGACCAATGTCAGGAGCGTGCTCGCCCCTAGGTCCGTCCTAGTCCTAGCCCACCCCCACAAGGCAGGGTTTCTCTGTGTAAGCCTTGGCTGTCCTGGAACTTGGACTGTAGACCAGGCCAGCCTTGTGCTCAAAGATCCACCTGCCTCTGCCTCTCAAGGGCTCAGATTAAAGGCGTGCTACCACCACGCAGCAAGCCTATCTTCTCTTGCCAGCTGTTCAGGAGACCTGAAGATGAGTGATACTTTGAATCCTAACCCTGAACTTAGAAGGAAAAACCTAGTTTGAGTCCTGTTTTATTATATTTTCTTGAAATATACCATAAAGTAATGCTGTTGTTCTTCCAGGTTAGAAGAAGTCCAAAGTGCCCTTCAGAGTAAGGAGAAGGTCTGTCACAGAATGAGTGAGGAAGTTGAGCGAACCAGAACTTTGGAGTCTAGAGCATTTCAGGAAAAGGAGCAGCTGCGGTCAAAACTGGAAGAAATGTATGAAGAGAGAGACAGAACTTTCCAGGTGTGCTGGGTAGAATGCTTGAATACATAGTTAACAAAAACCACACCTGTGGTTCCGTTTCCCTAGTGTTCGGAGTGCCCACAGACGTTTGCTCACCTCGGTTGGTGCTTTTGAAAGGGGATACATAATGTGACCTTCCGATCCTTGGATTGACAGGAAATGGAAATGTTGAGAAAGCAACTAGAGTATCTTGCTGAGGAAAATGGAAAGTTGGTAGGTCATCAAAACCTACATCAGAAGATTCAGTATGTAGTGCGCCTCAAGAAGGAAAACGTCAGGCTTGCTGAGGTAAACGGAAGACTGCTCTGAATAAGCTGATTGTGGTTTTAAAGCAATTGTTTTAATGAATTGGTCATTGCTACTGTACTTTTTTGTTTTTTGAAACAGGGTCACACTCTGTAATCTCATACCTTTAATTTGAATATATACAGAATCAAGGAAATAATTTCTATAAATAATTAGAAACTTAATTTTCTTCTCTTTTTAAATTACAGGAGACAGAAAAGTTGCGCGCTGAAAATGTATTTTTGAAAGAAAAGAAAAAGAATGAATTCTAAAGACCCAGCCAGCTCCTTACACATCAGTTTGTTTACACTGGTTCTTTAAAAACACTGTACTTGCCCAAGTGATAGAGCCAGACTAAAGACCTTAATTATGAATCATGCTACGCGGTGATCCTCAGTACTCTGATAGATGCTCTGCATGCAAACACAGCAGGCTGTTAAGAGGGTAACAGTGCATTTAAAATAAAGGTCTAAAGCTGAGGTTTGTGGTGAATGTTGGTCATGTTCTATTCTCCTCAGATCTACCTTTGATAAACTTGGTGAGAATTTATTTGATTTTGTAGCAAACTTGTTCATACTGGTTTGTTTGTTTGTTTATAACTGTTGTCGTGAGCATTTTTTACATGTCTAATTTTTCAAATAAAAAATTTTAAAAGCCAATTTTAAAATGTGTGTGACTATTTTGCCTACATGTATGTCCGTGTACTACATGTGTGCCTGGTATCCTTGGAGGTCAGAAGAAGGGGTCAGATTTCCTAGAAGTAGTTACTGATGGTTGGGTTCAGGGAAACCAATGCAAAACTATGCAAAAACAAGTGCTCATAACCTAGTTTTGAGGTTTTTGATGAGGATCATAGGGTCTCCTGTGATCCAGGTTTGCCTTGAACTCACTGTGTAGGCAAAGAAGCCCTTGAATTCCTGCTCCTTCTGCCTCTATATTCAGAGTCCTGGGTTTTTAGGTATACACCATTACACCCAGATTATTAGTTAGGTTTTGACTTTGGATACACAAATAAAATAAATCAACCCTCTAGCTTTACTTGGTCTTAGTTTGCTCTAAAATCACTAATTTTGGGGGCCTCACAGATAGACCATTCCCCCCTATTTCTCAACCTCTGCCAAAACATGAAGACCCTTTCTGCTAAAAGCACGGTGATAATCTTCTAATCTCTGGGATGAAAATCCTGACAAGAAACTTAGGTTTGCTTCAGCTTTACTTGTCTGTTCTTGCCACATTGTAAGATCTCTCCACTATGAAATGGAGTAGCACAAGGAGGCCTCAACTCCTTCATCTGCAAAGTGGGATGGTTTATACCACATACAACTAACTGGGATATTTTTATATGTGTATCTGTGTTCAGGTGTGTGCACATGTGTGCAGGTGCCCATGGAGATCAGCAAAAAGCACTGGCTCCCCTGGATCGAGGAAGGGGTTGCTCTGAGCTGCCCACACAGGTAGCTAGCTGGGAAGCCACCAGCCCCCAATAATCCATCCTTTATTTTAGCCACAAGACCACCTGCAATGTGGCATGTTAAGAATGTCTACGAAAAGTTCTTAACAGAAAACAGCATGCTAAACGAGGAGTGGGCTGTGAAATTATTTTTGTTTTATCAAACTCCCATACATATGTATTGTTTGTATTTTATGTAGTCTACGAAGAGATCTTGATACATAGCCCTGGCTGGCCTAGGACTATGTAGGTGAGGCTGTTCTGGAACTCACAGAGGTCCACTTGTCTCTGCCTCCTGAGGTGCGCCCCTCACCAGGCCCACTATACACTTGAGCATCTTGCTTTTTAAGGAAATGTACCCCCAACATACACACACTGCCATGGATTGAACTCAGGACTTTCCATGTGTTAGGGAAGCACTAAGCTAGGTCCCTGACAACCCCCCCTCCCTTTTTTTTTAAGTCCTAGGCTAGCCTAGTACTTGCAAAGTTAGCCAGGCTGGCCTCGAACTCATAGTAATCCTGCCTCAGCCTCAGGAGTGCTAGGATTAACGGTGTAATATTACTGACAGTAGGTGATGCGTTTTAGTATTTTGGGTAACTTAAGATGGATTTAGAAGTGATGTGGTTCTGGTGGTCCCAGCAGTGACTAATAAATGGTGTTTCCTCAGCACTTTCCCCAAGCAGTGGTTTGTCTCAAGCTGCGTGTCTGCAGAGCTGTCCCCTGCATCGCCTGGGGTCGAGAGGCTGCTGGAGCATCCCTACGATGCAGACTGGCATTGGGATCTGCAAAGCCAGGAGGCAGCATTCTCGGTGCCCATCCATGCCAAGTGGCAGCAGGTATGGAACTGCAGACCACAGCATTCTCGGCAGCAGGTTCCCCTCAGCCCAACGTTCCCTTCCGTGGCGCATGGTCCTCACCAGCAGACTCCTCCATCAGCGCCAGGCTCGCTTGGGCTGCAGGCCGTCCTCAGTCAGGGGTTTGTGTGGGCTGCAGGTTCTGGGCCCCAGGTTCCTACAGCAGCAGCAGATTCGCCGCCTCCTCCTCCTTTGCACGCTCTCCTCCCGCTCCGCCCCCGGCTCCGCCCCCCGGCTCCGCCCTCCCGGGCTCACGGAGGGCTGGCAGCCGGCGGCGGCGGGCGATCGGGCCTCATGGCGGCCGGGCCGCCGTCCTCAGGTGCTGCAGTGTCTGCATCCGCTTACCCCGACGCACCGGTGGAGCTCCCCGCTCGCCTCCGGGCCGGCGCCATGCGGTGCCGCTTCTGGGGCGTGGTCAACTGTCTGTGCGCCGGCGCGTTCGGGGCGCTGGCCGCCGCCGCCGCCAAGCTGGCCTTCGGCAGCCAGGTGCAGCCCAGGGCGGTCCGATCGGCGAGGCCGGGGAGGGGTGGGGAGGGGTAGGGGTGGGGAGGGGTAGGGTGGAGGAGGACCGCGGTCCGGGCCTCCTCCTGAGTGCACCGAGGGGCTGGGCTGATTGATGGCCCTGGCACCTGTGCTGTCTTGAGTCTTCCTACACGGGCTGGGCTCAGCAGCAGCTGAGAGGTCAGCCCTGGCCTTTAGATTTCAGGCGTCTTAGAGTTGCAGGTTCCAAGCTCGAGGGCCACACATAACCCTTTGGGTGTTCCTCTGGGCAGAAGTGGTCCAGGGTGAAGACCATGGAAGTTTTGTGTTTTTTGGTTTTTTGTTTTTTGGGGTTTTTTAAAAATCTTTCCCCATAGCGATCAGGCTTTCGTTATCCATCGTGTGAGCAGGTTGCTCCTGACCCCTTAACGATGCCCTTTTGTAAGTCTTCCCTTTCCAAAAGACTACGGAGCTACAACAAATTTGAGGTCTACAGGGAAGAAAACTATCTCACACACACACACACACACACACACACACACACACACACACACACCGTCACCGAGGTCTGCACATCCTTCATAGGAGACTCCTAGAGATCCCCGGCCTTGCAAGGCTCTGCCCACGGTGGTTGTGGCTACAGTAACACTTTCTCCTGCAGGTGAATTTTGGCTTGCGTGTCTTAGGGCTTATTGCCATGGCAAGTACCAATTCTCTGATGTGGACCTTCTTTAGCCGCGGCCTCAGTTTCTCTATGTCCTCAGCCATTGCATCCGTCACCGTGACGTTTTCAAACATAGTCAGCTCGGTGAGTAGCCTGGTGACCTTGTCCTTGCTCAGGGCTCTGGGTGAGTTGTCCTTGGGGAGGTCCCTGCTTTTTCAGGTTCAGGAAATGACAGGAAGTTAAGCAGAGGTTGGGCTGGTGCCAGTCAAGGAGCAGTTAAAGCAAAACTTAGGAAATGAAATCTTGAGTGTCATTCTGTGCCAACAGCAGCTACAGGAAGTCCCTTGGCGTGTCTCTCATGAGTCTGGGAACTCGGCATTAGCTACGGCGGTAGATGGGATTAGCGCAGGTTCTTTGCATATGTCCAGGGCCTGCAAAGTCCAGTAACCCAGTCAGTCCTGAAGTGGATGGAAGATGGCTGAGTTTGGTTTTAGGATTACTGGCCCCGCCTACTGGCCTTTGCTGGGCCTCATTGCTCAGCTCAGGTAACCCCTGACCTCCACAGAGGAGACAGAAGTACCTGCATTGATCTGATGAAGGTGGTAGCCGTATATGATACATGAAATAGCAGAGTTTGGCCTCTGACCGCCTCAGGGAAAAAGACGCCACTAAGGAATGCTAGAGCCTACCAGGGTAGGCCAAGTCCCTTACAGCTGTCTCTCCCACAGGCCATCTTGGGCTACTTGCTGTATGGAGAGTGCCAGGAGGTCCTGTGGTGGGGAGGGGTGTTCCTCATCCTCTGTGGGCTCACCCTGATCCACAGGAACTTCCCGGCTACCTGGGAGGCAAGCAAGCAGCAGCGACACCATCGGGTTGGATAGTCACACGGTAAAGATGGCCGTGACGCCCAGCACTGGGTTGACCAACAAGTAGGACTGCTTCCAGGGTTGCCTGGGAGTACAGCCTTGGACCATCCACCACGAGGAGATGCCAGACCAACCACAGGCCTCTGACCATCTCACAGCCTAGAGAGTCGAAGCATTGGCTCCCGTAAGAGGAAGATAACCACCACAGCACAGGTCCTTCAGCCTGGCACAGTGCTTTGATGCTTGGGCTGCCTTAGGAAACCCTGGAAGACTCTGGGATCTTGCCCAGCAAGATGTCAGGTATCTGAGAAGTGTGGTTATGGTTCTTCTACCTGACAGTGGCCCTTCATAAATCCCAGACTGAGTAGCTGGCGGGGCTCCCTTAAGTTACAAACGAGCAAACAGGTGTCAGGTCACGCCTATGAACGCACCGCAAAAGAAGGAAACTTGGGCTAATAAATACTCATTTGTAAGTTAAGGCTTACACTGGGTGTGGAATCTTACTTCTTTCTAACTTGGGGGGTAAAGTAGCTGAGTTCTCAGGACGGGTAGTGGAACATGTGGAGTACATGTGGATACCGCGCGCCTCTGTGTCCATCGTCAGCGGTGCCCTGTGCTTCTTCCCAAACCAGGACCCAACACGTGGAGGTTTTTCTCCCATACTCGGCTGGACAGGTGACGGGAAGAGCATACCGGCGACACAGTTAGCTTCCCTGTTCCCGCCAGCCGGGACCTCGCCTCTCCTCAACACTCTCACAGGAGTTGCTACCTTGGCGACAACTTTTCCCTTCCTACACACTGGAGTCCCCAGTGGCCAGGCATCTAGTATGGAAAACTCTGCAAGTTCACAGGATGCAGTTGTGCTGTGTGCCTGTGTGTTTGCTCTCTCCTCAGCCTTAGACTCTCCCACTTGCCGCACTCCCGGCAACAACCTGTGCTGCTAGTTCCAAACGCCTTTAAACACTGTGGGAGCCAAGGCACAGCTGTCGTTTTGCTTAGTCCACTTTGACGTATTAAAACCTGACCACTCCGTCAGGAAGATGCTCGGGTGTTCTCATGTTAGGCGAGGAAACCAAGTCTCGGGAGCAGGGGGAGTAACTTGTCCAACATCACACAGCTCGTGAGTCCTTCAGAGAGTGTCAGTCCAGTCTGTTTTTCTCCAAGCCTCATTCTTAATCTTCAGCACAATCTTGCCTCCTACACCAGCAAATCAAGACCAGAGAGACCCAGTGTAAAGAAGCTGTCAAGTCTCAGAACCTCGTCACGGTCGCCTTCCCCGTGTGATGGTCTATTCTGATCCTGTCTCTCTACCAGCGAGAAAGAGGAAAGCCACTCAAGGCCCCATAAAGTGTGTTCCCTTGTGGGCCAGGCACAGATCTAGACCAAGCATGAGGGCTGGAGAAATGGCTCAACGGTTAAGAGCACTTGGTGTTTTTGCAGAGGTTCTGGGTTCGGTTCCTACACCCACACAATGATTTACAACCATCTGAACTCTTAGTCTAGCACATCTGATGCCCTCTTCTTACCTCTGCTAACACCAGACACATACATGCACAGACAAAACAGTTGTGCATAGGGGGCTGGAGAGACTGCTCAGAGAGTTAGGAGCACTGGCTGTTCTTGCAGAGGTCCTGTGTTCAATTCCCAGCAAATACATGCTGGCTCACAGCCATCTATGATGAGACCTGATTCCTCCTTCTGGCATGCTTGCAGACAGAACGCTGTATACATAATAAACAAATGTTTTTAAAAAAAAAAACAGTTATGCTTGTAAAATAGGCCTTTAAAAAAGCATTGAAGGTTGCTGAGAGCCACTGGTATGGTCTCTCTAGGCATGCCATCATCACATAGGTCAGAAGTCTATCTTGGCCCATGCACTGCCCAGAAGGGACTCTGCCTCCCATCTAGACACCTGCTGAGTGCATAACAGGTGCTTGATACTGGCTAGTCTACAGATGTGGAAAAACAGATCAAGGTCTTTTTCTACGGGGAGGATGAATTGTTCCCTGGAAAGCAGAAATGTGTGCCTCTGGAATCTCCTGAGCAGACGGCTGGCAATGTTCACATCTTTGTTGGAGAGGGTGGTTCTTCTGCAGAAAGAATAAACCACAAGACAATATTTGCCTTTCTGATGTGCATCCTGGATTGTGGCTTGAGTTTTGTTTGCTTCAGAGCTGGGTATTTGACATCAGGTGTCTACAACCTGTGGCCTTGATAAGACAGTTACCACTTTCTGTTCTTGCTTTTTATTTATATTTAAAGGGTACAACCCAGCAGGGTTTTTCTTTTTTCCTTCAGTATATCCACAAGATTTTCAATCATCATTAATTCCAGTACATCTTTCACTACTCAGAGCCATATCCATCAGCAGTTACCCTCTGTCTCATACCTCCACGCCAGTCCCTGCTATCACAAATGGTTCTGTTTCTATGAATTTGCCTATTTTTTTCCTATGGTCTTTTGTGTCTTTTTTTTTTTTTTTTAATGCAGTTTCTATGGCTCATTATTAAGGTAGCACATTTTAACACTTCATTCCTTCATTCCTTTCTGTGGGTGGCTCAGTCCCATTCTACCCTGCACGTAGACCATTAGACCTTATGTTGGACAAAGTGGTTTCCGCTTTGGGGCTGTTATAGTACTGGTACAGATATTAATGTCCCAGGTGTTTTGTGGACATGTGATTTCAACTCTCGTGAATATAAACCTAGGAAGTGGGGTTCCTGGGACACATAAGCCATTCTAACTTGGTCTTTTTAGTTCTGCTGTTGTTTTTGAGACAGGGCTTCTGTGTAGCCCTTGCTAGCTTGGGACTTGCTATGTAGACCGGGCCACCCCAAACTCACAGAGCTCTTCCTTGTCCCTGCCTCCTGAGTGCTGAGCTTCCTGTTTTCGAGGAACAGCTTTAGCAGCCACACCCATTTTATAGTCTAACCATCCAAGCACCAATGTCCCAACCTCACCAGCTTCCTTGGCAACACTATTAGTATCCATCTTTTCCGGTGTTTATGTGTTAATTGTACATTGATTACGGCATTTTCATACGTGTGAAATACTCTGGCCATACTCGGCTCCTACCTTTGTCCGCTTTGTCCATCCTTTTTTTTTTTTTTTTTTTTTTTTTTTTTTATCATAGCCATTGTTTTAGTTCCTTTTCCTGTGGTTGTGATAAAATGCTCTAACAAAGTCAACTTGAGAAAGAGCTGATTCTGGCTCGTGTTTCAAGGACACGGTCCATCACTTTGTGAAGTCCCCAGGGTTGAGTGGAAGCAGTTGCTCACATGGCTCCCACAACTAGCAAGAGAGGGGGACGGATGTGCTCCTCCTAAACAACTGAGGATTTCAGCCAGGGGATGGTACCAACCACAGCGGTACCCTTCCCATCAGGCCTTCCCAGAGGCTTACTACCCTGCTGGTTCAAGAGTGCCACCCTAGTGGTGTCTTTTGTGGCTTTTATTTACATTTCTATAGTGAGCAGCCATGCCAAGCATCTTTTCTATGCTTATGAGCCACTTGTGTGTCTTCTTGGGTATAAGAGCTAAGGGACCTGCTCCAGCCCCCACCCGGGGTCCCAAACATGAAAGGGTTCTCAGGAGCCAAGGAGGGGGTAAAGATTTCTATCGCAACTTCCCACAGGATCTGAGCTCAGGTCATGCTCTTTTTCCTGTCCTGCTTCTGGCTCCTTCTCCATTCTAAAAACTCCTCTTCTTCAGGAGCCTCGAAGTGATAAAGACATTTCTCTCATCGCTCAAAAGCACTTTCCTAGAGGAAGTGATAAGGAGCTGAGCCTTTTACCATGACAACTCAAGGGTCCAAGGCCATAAGAGCAAAGCCATGGCCAGACAGGGTAGGGCACAGCGCCCAGTGACAACTTTGAGTAACTATAGGCAAGCCTATGCAGCATTGTTAGTAGAAAGGCAAGTGAAGAGTAGGCATGCTTTTCTTAGTAACCTTGGCTGTACATCTGTGGCTCTGACCTTGTACATAGCTGTAAGGTTTCAACTTATGATTTATTTACAAAATGCCTTTAGTTTGAACTTGTTCTGAGGCGAGAATGTGTGCAGTTAGTCTGAGTAAGAGAGCAAGGCAGGCTATTAAGAGTTAACACTAGTTAGCACCTGCTGTATCTCTCATGGCCCCCTGACGCTTGGAGGGAAAAATGGCTTTTTGGGACTTTGAACATTTTTTAAAAATCAGGCTTGGGGGCTGGAGAGATGGCTCAGAGGTTAAGAGAGCACTGATTTCTCTTCCAGAGGTCCTAAGTTCAATTTACAGCAACCACATGGTGGCTCACAACCATCTGTAATTCAATCTGGTGCCCTCTTCTGGTGAGCAGACAAAATACAGTATACAAAGTAAACAAATCTTTTAAAAAAAAAATCAGGCTCGGAGAGGTCTTGGTTTTGTTTGTTGTGATGAATTCTCTATGTAGGTCAGGCAATCCTCCTGCCTCAGCCTCCCCAAAATGTTGGGATTACAAAAGTGAGCCGCCATGCTTGAGGGCTTGTGGGTTTATAATGATGTTTTAGCGTCAGTCTCTGCAAGGAAGTAGATCAGAGATGACTCTGGCTCTTGCCCGGGCTCCTAGACGATGTCTTAGAAGAGAAGCTGGCAGCTTGGCACTGAAGTGGGGTAAGGTGTGGGGGGGCAGCAGAGCTGAAAGCCTCAAACCCAGCCCATGTCATCGTTTCTGCCTGAGGGCAGTGGCTCAGACAGTCCTGGCCCGGGACCTCCCACACTCAGCCCTGCCTTGGTAGCCGTTCACTGCCCAGAGCTATTAGTGATCTCTACACATGTCACATGACCAAAACTCAGACTACACGTGGCGCCATCCTGTTCTGGCTAGTTTATGTCAACCTGACACAAGCTAGAGTCATCAGAGAGGATGGAACCTCAATTGAGAAAATGTCTCCTTAACAGGAGCCAGTCGATGGTGGCACAGCCTTTAATCCCAGCACTCTGGAGGCAGAGGCAGATCTTTGTGAGGCCAGCCTGGTCCACAGAGCGAGTTCAGGACAGGGCTACACAGAGAGACTTTAAGTGGGGAAGGGACTGTCAGTGGCAAGAACGGGCTATAGGCAACCATTTTCTTAGTAACTGATGGAGGAGGGCCCAACCCCTTGTGGACGGGGCCCATCCCTGGGCTGGTCCACCTAAATTCTATAAAATAAAGCAGGCTGAGCAAGCCAGGATGAGCCAGCCAGTAAGCAGCTCTCCTCCATGGCCTCTGCCTACAGATTCCTGCCCTGTTTGAGTTTCTGTCCTGACTTCCTTTGATGATGAACAGTGATATTGAAGTGTACGCCAAATAAACGCTGTCTTCCCCAAGATGCTTTGGTTATGGGTGTTTCATCACAGCAAAAATTAAGACAAAGTCTTTATTCCTGGATACAGATAAAAGGAGGGAGGCCCATCTGGACCGAGGGCCCCTACATGAAGCAGGCAGATCTCAGTGA